GCTTCTATTATACTATTTTAGATGCGGGTTTTTGCGTTTTTGATTGCGTTTTAATAGGGTACGTCAACACAATGTACACAAAGAAGGGATTTTTCGACATTCCCCCGCGGGGGAGAGGGACAGGATTAAGGCTTACTGTGAAAAACTTGCCTTCTATTATACTATTTTAGATGCGGGTTTTTGCATTTTTGATTGTGTTTTAATAGGGTACATCAAGAGAATGTACACTAAGAAGAAATTTTTCGAAAAATTTTCTCCTGGGGGAAGTGTTATACATTTATAATAGATACATTTTGAGCCACAACAAGGCGTGGCGGGGTCTGCTAGTACCAATAATAAACTTACAAATAAATTATGTAATTAACGTTATACAATCTTATTTATTTCAACAACTTAATTAAACTGTTATGACAATTTCAATTGATGAGAATAAATCTCATCTATGGAAAGTAACTTTTCTTTATAAATTTCGAAACTGATTACGGGTATAAAGCTGACTTAGGGTACCATTTTTGTTTGCTAATTTATAAAAGTCTGAGTGTTCTATCCCAACAACAACCGCCAATATATTTCGGGCATCTGTATGACCACGGTCGACATCAGGGACTGTATTCCTACGGTATCACCAATTTGAGTAGGAAGAAATTTTCTTTTTGAGGTTCCTTTTTTGAGGTGTTTGCAGTATAGGATTCTCTTTCGCAGCTGCTCTTTTTATAGAAATGCACTCGTGTTGGTTAGTAAAGGTTTGATAAGAAGACACAGCAGTTGCAGCTTCTTTTCAAAATTTTCCCTTAGGAAATGGTTTTCGGTATGGTCAGTGCTCAAATTTTCTTCAAAATTATTAACAATTTTTCGAGTTGTTTTTCGGTTTTAATATTTGCGATTTGTTCGCCAGGCAAAGATGACGATGCCATGCCTCTTTTTGGTTTAACGCCAAACAGGGCTTCATAAGAACTTTGGCGTATTCCTTCTTGGTATGCTGTGTTCTTGGCAAATTGAAACTTCATATGTAATATTTTTGTATATTTAACTTGCAATTCTTTAAGCATATGTGCTCTTCCTCTATGGCCTATTGTGATGTGAGTTTCGGATAGTATACTGAACAATTCATTATTGGTAACATAATACTGTATATTCGTTAATCCCTGTTTTAATGGCACAATTAACTTCTCTTCATTATTATTTAATTTTTAAAATGTCAAAACGTTTTTATCCTCTGTAATCAAAAGGTGTACTTCACTTAGTTTTAGCAGAAATCACTTCAGAAAGTATTTTAGAGTCTTTTTCTTGAGAAAATAAAAACAATTATCTTCTCGTTTACTTGCAATTAATGCAAATAACTTAAGCAAATGTTTCACGCACCAGCAAACCTTGCATAAGACTGACAATCAGCAGTGTTCGACAGTTTTTTTCCTTTCTGTATGTTGTTTCGTTTTCTGTTTTCGAACAGTCGCCATGTTTCTGACGTCACACGAATAATCTGATTGGCTGAATTACTACTAAAACAGGGGAGTAATGACGAAGAAAGTAATAGCCGACGTTTTGCCGAGATTCATTTAGACGGCGCACAGTGGGTCGTGGGACGATTCTAGCAGGACTTAAGTATATAGGCTGGTGCAATTCATTTTTTATAATAAAACTTTTTTACTTATATATCGTATTAACTAAAAATTTACATATCGGAGTCACATTCGGAGTTTGACTCGGATTTTTCTTATACTACGGTCACGCTCTGTGCTTTTAGTAATTTTAAAACGTTATCGGTTAACGGAGTTTTTTTATACCAAGTGATCTAAGGTTTGTAATGAGAAGATCTGAAGAAATGAAAAGATCATGTAAAATATCTATATTAGTGTTTATTCTATAGGTTTTTCGGAAATAACTCTCACGAAATTTTTTAAATTCCTTGTGTCTAGCTTCTTGCACTTCTTCGGACAATTGTCCTATTGAAACGAGAAACGAATTTTTGACCGGCGTATTAAAACTTTGTGAAGAGTGACTGGCATGGGATACCAATGATAAAGCGTCACGCATAACTCCGCTGTTTCCTTCGTGTAGATTTCGAATTTGCTCGTATCGATTTCGTAGCCGGATGCCAGCGCTTGTAATTTAACCGAAAATCCTTCTATTAGGTTTCTTGTTAACACCGGTTATCTCTGCAGTAAGAGTGGTATAAGAAAAAAATCTTGCCGAATTACTTTCGTCGGTGTTTCCACCACTTTGCTTGGGAGTATCAGAAGTAAATCAGTTTTGGTTCTAAATCCATTAATAATATTTTTCTTTCTTGTTGACTCTTTCTCTTCGGTTTCGCGCATTTGCCATTTTTTAATATCCATTCGATACGCTATGCGAAGAATGCATTCCATGAATCTTATGTGACAAGAAAGAGTCGATAGACCAAATGAAAAAGTTTCTTCATTACATTGCCTCATTTTAATATTAGGTGGATCGTTCATTTGGCTGAATGGGACTCCCAGAAATTCTTTTTGGGACGTCCCATTATTTGTTTTTGTGGTGTTTTACAGCTTGCACTAGTTTGTGGCAAATCGACATTTCCGATAATTGCGTAATCATTATTATTATAATGACTATTATTAATGAAATATACATATTAAAATAATACTTTGGCGATTACTATACATCTTAATATTGGATAAAAAAACTTAAAACAGCCAGCGAAACAACTATTCAAAATAAGTCCGAACACGACACTAACGTTATGATTCCAACCAGATATAAAACTGATGCTTTTCATTCGTTGCTTAGCAAAGCCACGGGGCGTATTTTAAAAATTATCGGTAGCAATTGACTCACTGGAATGTTTTTTATTAATACATAAATATGTAAGGGTCATTATCAGTTATGAATGATATTAACAAGTTATTTGTTTCCATAAAGCTGAATGGAGTAGATTTAATATCCATTATACTGATTTAAGTATACATATAAATTCATCTAACTGAATGTCCTTTAATTTCTAAGAATTTTAATTATTCTTAGGAACAAGACACTACTAGAATTGAGAGCAACGTGACTTTGTCACAACAAATAACTGATTTCATATTCCTGCGTGTATTAGCTCATTTTAATTCACTTTAATAATAACAAATTGAACGGAAACACGCAACTCTTCGCTTGCCCTTCGTTATTTCCAAACGAATGGCAACCCAGAACTCACCACGGGGAGGTGGTTGCGTCAGAGTTCCACCGAGAGTTGGAAAGAATGCAACTCCACACGTGATTAACATCACTCGTGCAGTTTCATTCGTCCTAACTCACACTTGAATAATATCTGTTTCACTGTAGTTAAATAGTTTAATAATAATTGAACTCTATACATTTCTAACATACAAACATTTATACAGTACATTAAACTTACCGTATTATTCCTATATAAAGCAATGCATGCAATATTCTAACTACTGACAATAAAAGTCACTAACCATACCTTACCACAAAGAAACATACGAACGAATATTGCAAATGAAATATAATGCGCTTCAAACACTTCTCGCTCATATTCGAAATAAAAGATAAAAATAATAAACGATAATACTGAATGATCATAGCAAATCGTAAACTCAATACCATTGTTCAAAAACTCGGAAAAGTCAGAGCATCCTCCGACTCCCCTCTATATTGAATTTCATGGAAAAGAGACAGCCCCGGATATTTTAAGGGAAAGAGACGGCCGCCTTCTCTGTTAATTTTATGTATAAATTTTGTAAATTAGTGTTTTATAAACTGAATTCAACACTAATTTTACAAAATTTTGGCGTGTTAAATGAAATCTGAAATGTAATTTTTTAAATCCTTTTGAATTCAACATATTGTTGCTCTTCATTTCATTTTGATTTCTTATAAAACTTGCTATTAAAGTTTCTTTCACAAATTTAAAAAAAACAGGTTAAAGGAGAAAAAACTGTTTGTTTTTTCTCCTTTAATTAACCTGTTTTTTCTCAACAAGTGGGCGGCAACAATCAAAACATTCAACAATACGTGACAACTATTTGTTACTTTCGACAAATACGTTACCTGCGTTACGTCATAACATTATTGGATTTTATTTATTTTACTAAACTAAATGGATGTTTTTTAGCCAAGTCTATTGGGGGGGTCCAAAAAATTAAGAGTAGTTCAATGGCTAAATAGAAGTCGCACGTGTCCAATATGCAGGGGAGATGCTTCCAATGCAGAATATCAAGTTAATTAAACTTGAAAATTCGAAGAAAAATCAATTTATTAATTGACATTTAAAATTTTAACGAATTTGTTTTGCTCTTTAAAAATTTATTCTAATAATTACATGATTTGGCAATTCTAATTGGCAATTCGATGATAAAAATTTTATTGTAAAATATATAAAATAATACGATAAATACAGTATATATTTATCTATTGGTTAAAATTAATTTAATATTTTATGACTTGTAGTAATGTGGCACTCAAACTTCTAGTCCTGTACCCAATACGAACCCGAGTACCCCTTAGTCTTTTTCTACACGTTTAATATTTTCTCGGATTATAGCCGAACAGAAATGACAATCGGAAGCGAGTTGTAAGCATGTCTTTACTAAATTAAACGCGATAAATTTTGACAATATTGTCTCTGCGTGACTCTTCTTTGCGTCCTGCAACCACTACCACATACGTAAAAAGGTTTTCTCGCGTCATCCTGACAACTCGCGAGAAAAGTTTCACCTAAGGTCGACCCCAGGCGAGTGTCGTCGGGCTAAAAACCCTACACTGGTGTCAGTTAAGCGGGATTATACAAAAGCATGCAATATTGCATGCAAGCATTTGTACAATACAGTACATTAAGCTTACCGTATTATTCCTATATAAACTAATGCATGTAATATTATAACTATTAGCAATAAAAGAAACGGGGAAACAAAAGCCTTCCGTACGTTATACCAGCGGTCCCCAACCTTTTTATCGCCGCGGACTGGTCAACGTTTGATATTTTACCGCGGCCCACTGAGGGGGGGACGTTGATTGTTTATATTTTAGATTGATTCAATTTAATAATTTTAATTGTATTTAAACATGCCTTCAAAATAAAATATAGTTACACCAAAAAATGAATATAATATGATTTAACATTTTAACTCACTAGAACGTTAAATCAATGAGAACCCTGAGCTTGTTTCTTTGCAACAAGACGGTTCCATCTGGGGGTAATAGGAGACAATGACACCCGAAGTGTGTTTCTTATGTCCAGTTTATTCCGTTGTTCCGTCGTCCATTAAAAGTCGCACAAACCCGAGAGAAATACACCATAGTAAATAAAATGGAAATACCAGTACTGTAACTTAATGTTCCTTGGGCGGCCCGGTACCATTTGATCCACGGACCGGTACCGGTCCGCGGCCCGGGGGTTGGGGACCACTGCGTTATACGATCATATCAAGAAGTGCAACTGTAAAGAAAAACAAAATTGCTGACAACTGGGATAGAAAATTAGGCACTTGGGCATAAGTAACATGAAAAAACTAATTGATTTATCAAGTGGAATAAACCTGACTAAAACTGATTATGACTCATTAATTCAGTTTGTGAAATATGTTTAATTAATTAAAAACAAGACTGACTGGACTCCCATTTAAACTAAACGATGAAGAGACATAAGACCTCTTGCAGTCCAATTGAACTAGACATGTAAAATGGAAATAAATATGTTTTGACTATGCTGGAAGATTTTCAGTCATTTTTGTATTGTATATCTTCTCAAGAATAAAAGTGAAGTGCTCGAATACATCAGCGAATATGTCACTCAAGTAGAAGTGTACATTAATCTAAAAGTATCAAAATTACGTTGTGACAATGGTGTAGAATATGGCGGTGATAAGATAAGACATTGGTAAATCAAAAAGACTACATAATGCCATACATTCCACAATTGAATGGACGAGCATAGAGATTAAACAGCACATTAGAAAAGGCGAAAGCTCTCATTTTTTATTCTAACTTGAACAAGGAAGTGTGGGAAAAGCAATAAATGAAGCATATCTTATAAATAAAAGACCCACAGAGACTGTAGACACAACATCGAAAAATGGACAAAGGTTAAACCCGATCTATCACATCTGCACATGTTTGGTTGTGAAATACATGCCAAAATTCTAGGTCACTTGAAGAAACTTGACTATCGAAGTAAGAAATTAACATTTGTAGAGTATGCCCCTAATGGATACAGAGTATGGGATCACTAGAAAAGGATAGTGTCAAGAGATGTATTTTCTAATATTGTAGACAAGAAAAATAAAAGAATAGTCATAAAATGGAAATCATTTTGTGAAGAAAACACAAAGTTTGGATAAAGTGGAAGAAAGTAAATGTATGGAAGAAAAAAGAAAAACAACGCTGTTGTAGAAGATACTGAAACTCGGAGTGATAAAATTCAAAGCAGTAGTCCCAACACATTGAGAGATTTGGGAGATAAAGGTAGGTTAAACTGCGAAGACCAAAACGTCTTGATGACTTTGAAATAAAAGATTAAGAGACCTCCCTGCTTTTCTACAAAGCAGTAAAAAGCCCTAGCTAGAGAGAAGCAATTGAAAAGTAAAAAACAAGCATTGATTAAAAGTGAAACCTGGAAATTAGTCCACGAAACCAAAGCTGAAGTGACTCAACCCGATAAAAATATTATTTTGGATAGAAGATTAAATGTGAGTCTAGCAATTGACCCTTGAAAAAGGCCAATGGCCATAGGGTCGTTAGTTAAATAAATTAAGAAAAATAAAAGATGTGTCCAATATGTAGGAGAGAATGTTAGCTCCAGGATAAGACAATAAACATGCACAGGAACGAGTCCAAGTAGCTTCTATTCGTATTTCGTTGATAGCACAAACATACAACTACTGGTCAGACTGATGAAAAAGGGTGCCAAAATATTACCCAATCACGTTAATCCTTACTAATGCCTCCTGGCCACGACATATGCTTTTAGTTGATGCACTACACCACTACTCCTATGTTTGAAAGCCTTTCAGGTATGATGGAGAGAGAACTGCACGACGTGGTCGTGATGAGTACCGAGCCATGTAGCTGTGATCCAGCTCGACATGGTCTGATGGGCTATAGATGATTTCTGTTCCGTGTTTGATAGCCCATTCTCTGTTGTATCGTGAGTTATGAGAGAGCGGTAATTCATTTGATCTATGTGTCTGTGTCGAGAAGTCTTATGGTGTTTGTACCTCATAGCTCACTGGTCCTGTACGACAGGTAATTAGCTGGGATCCATTCTGTGTTCCCTCCTGTCCTATGGATGTAGACAGGTGATTATTTTTAAGAGTGCATATCTGTTTCTTAGGTTCCGAGTTTTTTGTAGAGGTGGTGACAGGTCTAAGTGCTTGATGTCAAGACATGTTCATAGACGTTGCTTGAACAGCACTTCTGCTGGGCTCACCCCCATACTTGCACAAAAAGTGATGTGCTTTAGTAGCAGAAATTGACATAGTTTTTCGGACCAATCCCCATGCATCATTTTCTTCAGCAACTCCTTTTTAGAAAGAATCATGCATTCAGCCAATCCATTGCCTTGTGGATGGTAGGATGGCTGGCAAATGTCGTTTGACCTCAACAAAATGGAAAACTCTCTGAAGCAAACTGTGGGCTGTTGTCTGACAATACTGTCAGGTATACCGTGAGTAGTCATGCGTTCTTGAAGAACCTTAATCACTACTGTTGTAGTAGACATCATGCACTTCATTTTTTTTTGATGTTGCATCTACTACTACTAAAAACATTTCTCCTTGAAATGGGCCTACACAGTCTGTGTGGAGGCGAGATCATCTGTCTACTAAACTCTGGAAGACTCTTGGTGCTACACTTACTCAAAACTGAAGATGATTACCCTGTACGCTCCTCGGTGAGTAATGATTGATTGCAGCTGTGCTGACATCATCCACAGGTAGTTGTAGATTTGCCTGGGCCAAGTCCAACTTTGCAAATATTGTTGCAGGTGGGAGAGACGCCAACAGATTGAATGGACCACAAATGGAATTGGATATGGATGTGCTCTAAGAGCTTTGTTCAAGGTTACTTTATAATCACCACAAAGCCTTATTTCACCAGATGGTTTCATAAGTTGGTTGGTTGGTTAGTTAATTTTTATTGGCACAAAAGCCATGCAGGCTATACTGCGCCATGACACATGGTATGATTGAAGGTACAAAATACAGTAAATAGGAAAACACATATATACCGAACAGTTTAACCATTAAAAGGCCAATGGTAATATATATATATATAATCTAAAATATAATAAATAAATAAATAAACAACAACAAAAAATAAATAAATAAACAACAAAAAATATATACAATAATTTAAATATGCACCATGAAGTAAATAAAACTATACAATAATAAAATCATCATATTTCTCTATACATATTAATGACTTTCAGAAAGTCCAGTATATTATCCAGATTTGGCCTCTGGCCCAAAATGTCTCTAAAGCTTGCATTTCCGAAATGCTGTCTACGAATCTGATCAAAAGCAACACAGTTGCAAAATATGTGTTTAACACTTACAGCACAGTTGCAGTGCTGACATACTGGTTCGTCATCTCCCTTCAAAAGGTATTGATGAGTCAGTCGAGTGTGTCCAATTCTCAAACGAGTAAGGATAACCTCAGATCTCCTATCATATTGCCTATTATGTGTCCAATTTTCTACCAAAGGTTTGATCTCGTGAAGTTTATTGTGGATTTGTGCATTCCACACGTTTTGCCATCTCTCTGCTAGTCGTTTTTTAACGACTAGCTTCAAATCACCTCCTTCAATACGCATTGTATGCTGTGAAGGACTTGCTGACTTAGCAGCTGTATCAGCTTCTTCATTACCTCTTATACCCACGTGGCCTGGGACCCAACAGAACTTCACAAAAAAATTTCTCGTAGTGAGATGACAAATTAGTTTTCGAATTTTAATAACTATGGAGTGAGAACTACGTTCATACGAGATCAAAGCCTGAAGTGCACTAACTGAGTCAGTGTAAATCACGCAGCAACGATGACCTTTCCGATTTATATACTTTAAGGCTAAATAAATAGCCTGCAACTCCGCAGAAAAGATGGAAGAATTCGGTGCTATTTGTTCTGCCAGAATTTCATCCTGGCAAACAAAAGCTAAGCCAACATAGTTATCCGATTTAGATCCATCGGTGTATATAGGAATTGAATTCCTGTTACGATGCTGAATTTCTGCGAAGTGCTGTCTATAGACGTAGTCTGGCGTGGTTTCTTTAGGGAACTGCTTTAAGCTTAAATCAACATCAATCGGTGAAGTTGACCAAAGTGGAATACTACTAACCTCAACATGTGAGATGTTGCTTGTGTCTAAGTCAATCGTGCTGCTTACATTCTCCATTCTTATGTCAAATGTAGGGACACAACTCGTCCGAGCGGCAAATAATCTTTTCAGCTGAGAATCTGGACAATCAGCTGTAAATTTTTTCTGAGATTTTTGTTTAATGTAATAAAAAAGAGACAACTGTTCTCTCCTGAGTGATAGTGGAGGCTCATAAGCATCCACATACAAACTCTGAACAGGGGAAGTTCGAAATGCACCGGTGCACAAACGCAAAGCTTGATGGAGGATTGGATCCAGCATCCGAAGAGTAGATTCTCGCGCAGAGCCATAAACAATGCAACCGTAGTCCAGCTTAGAAAGGACAATGGCCCTATAAATCCTGAGCATCGAAACTTTGTCTGCTCCCCAAGATGAGCAGCATAGTACCTTTAAAAGGTTTAAAGATTTTAAACATCTACTCTTCAGGTTGCGCAAGTGTGGCAAAAATGTCAGTTTTTGGTCGAAATGAACACCCAAAAACTTAGCCTCATTCACCATTGGAACTTTATCCCCGTTTAGGTAAATTTCCGGATCCAGGTGCATACCACGCCTTCGGCAAAAGTGGATGCATGAAGTCTTCTCTGTATTAAAAGTAAAACCATTGGTCTTGGACCAGTTGTCTATGCGATTTAGGGAGGTTTGCAGTTGTCTCTCAATGAAACTCATATTACTAGACTGGCAGGAGATCTGAAAATCATCCACGTACAAAGAGTGTTTTACACTAGGAGGAAGACAGTTAGCTATGCTGTTGATTTTGATTAGGAACAGAGTCACACTCAAAATAGAGCCTTGAGGGACA